GCCACAAATGGACACTGAATGGCCCCTCCCAGAGGAAATAAAAAAGGAGCGAAAGGGGAGGGGAGATTGCCAGAGACAATTAGTTTGCTTAATTGGTTGGTGACTCTCCCAGACACCTTGCCAAGTTTTGCAGATATCGGCCTGGCAGCTTTCCAAGCCAGATAAGGTCTGTGACTGTAAATCCTTACTTGAAAGACTTTCTCAGCTATTAATGAGCAGAATTCACAGTAAATTAATAAAAGGGATTTTTGACATGACAAGGAGTTTGCTTCAGGCTGTTGGGAAGCCTAGGGCAGAACAATAGTAAGAACAGAGAGGTATATGGAAAATAGCGATAGATCAGGTCATCACGTTCTGAGATAATATTGCCAAATTATATACCATGTGTTTATTCTTAGCTACCAAAGAATCCAGCCTGTGCAGTTCCCCGGCTACCGGCAATAGCTCGCCGGGTCCTCTCAGCAAGCCAAGAGAGACAGCTGCTCGGCACGTTAGTTTCAGCGACAGCCCCAAAGGGGCCCAGTCTGCTTTCCAACGGCAGAGAAGGATTGCTTTTTACGACGGAGATGTGAGCGATGAGGATGACTTTGCCAAACAAGATGGAGACTCATTCCAAAGAGGGTCGAGGTCGAAAGGTCAAAGGAAAGGAGACCATGACTGGAATGTTTCCCCTGCGGTTCCTTCGGTGCAAAATGGAGATCCCAGCCAGGAGAAAGAATCTGTGACAAATACCTGCAGTGACTTAGCTGCTACCAGCTCTAGGAATCTGACAGAGAGCATTGGGGAGCATCCAGCAGACATCCCTTTTCTTCCAGCTAAAGAGCTTCATCATCTTCCGGAGCTTCATCCCGGCTACTTGAACGTGAAGGACTTTCGAGAGGAACCGCTAGAAACGAAGAGGTCTCCTAAACTGGAACATAAAGCAGTCACCCGAGTGAAAAGCCTGATGAGTATTGAATACCACGGAGTCCCAAGGCCCAAGAACGAGGAGCATGGTGCCTGCAGCAGAGCCGGTGGGAAGATCCTCCCATCCATCCAGAAGAATGAAGCTCAGGAGATTCCCCTGGAGTACAGCCCTGTGGAATCCATTACTTTATGCCGGGATGAAAACGAGTCCTTTGGCCTGGACCTCGAAATTCATGCCAACCCTTTGCGCATCGTCATAACAGGCTTGCAACCAGGTGGAGCAGCTGATAGGGTAAAAAAAAAAGTCTTTCCCTTTATGATCACTAATAGAATTTCAGTCCGGAGGGAAGTGGAGATCATGCAAGAAAGGGACCTAGGAACCTCAGGAGAAATGTGAATTTTGTGAGTCTTGTCTCATGTCTCTTACTATACCCAGTGGTGGGATTCAGCCAATTCACTCCTATTCGAGAGAATCGGTTGTAAACTTTGTAAGCAGTTTGGAAAAGAAATCTCATTCTGTTTCTTCCCCACTTTACGGGGCTAATTCTGTAAGGAAGGCAGGAAGGAAACATTCTGGTGTTGTTTCTAGCCTAATTTTTATTGCCCTGCTTACAGAAACTGCCTCTCCGGTTAATCCTTATTACATTGTAACAGCCAAGACGAAGCGCCCATTGATGTGAGTGATGTTGAGTTGGCCACGCCCACTCAGTCACATGACCACCGAGC